TTAGGTTACTGCAGCTACCTAGTTCCTCTGTACAGTTGCTCAGCTCTACACATAACCGGGAGATCTAGGGGAGTTGCAAGCAACTACTACTCCAATTCTTTGAAGTTCTTTGGTGCCTTAATTTCTTAGCACTTCTGAACATCAAGATTTAGAACAGAGTGGAGAGTTTCTGAAAACTACATCCGTAGGTTTTTCATCAAAGGGTATATGAGAAGCAAAGTAATGGATGTGGAACTAAGCCGTGATCTGGGGCACAGGCTTAGCTATGTGGCCAACTTGCTGATGATCTTAGGTGAATTATTTCACATCTTGCTTAAATTTCTTCAAAAGTAAGATCAAGCCCAGAATGCTAGCATTGTAAGACACTTTGAGGTCGTCTGATGAAATCACTTTTCAAGGACTCAATGGTATTATTTATCCATCCATAAATATATGTGCAGCTGATACTGAAATCTGCTATGTCTAATGATAGCAGTGGTGAGGATATAATGTTCTTCCTCTGGCACAGTAGTGAAATTTCTGCCTTTGAAGTGCATGTGATTGAGAGGAACTGCTAGTCTTTCAAAGTGAAACTGCTAGTAGACTCTTCCACTTCATTTTGATTTGCCCACCCGCGTTATGAGGATGAATAGATTAAAGATCAGACTGTCTGCAAGGGAGAGGAAAGAATCACCAAGTTCTGGAAAGCTGACGGACTTCCTGTTTGCTTTGCAGGATGGTCTTAATGACTATGGGGAATCAGAAGGCGCTCCTGTGTTTTTAATTGCCTGTACTAGTAGAACCTTTTGATGTTTACATACTTGCAGTATATTTTGTACTGTCCTTGGTTGAACACTTGAATTGCCATAATAGCTAAAGTATGTAACTTGCTTCAGAGTTAATGCCCTCCTAAGGTGACCTAAGGAATCCTAACAACATTTCAGGGTGTTTATCTGCAAATTTTGGGTGACAACATTTCATTAGTTAAGCTACAGGTAGTCCTTACTAATGAACAAGTGTTTTCAGTAATAAAAAATATAATCTACAGGGCAGTCTCACAATTTTAAACTAAAACCCAGCATTTAAATATAATGATTATGAGTAATTATTTTTAACAGCACTAAGTAGTGACAGAAAGTTGTTTATTGTAATTATTTGTCATCTTCTCAGAGGGGCTGCTAATTACAGAGAAATACCCATCTGTTAGAAATAGGCCTGTTCAAAAATAATAGGTAAATTAATCATTATTTCACCATACAGATTGCAGCCTTTAATGTCTGTTCTACAGTATAGTAAGGTAGGACTCCTGGGGAATATCAAGGTTGTGCTGCTGTGGGCAGCTAAGCCACACACAGCTGCTCTCTTACTCCACCCACAGTGGGAAGGGGGAGAGAATCACAAGGGTAAAAGTGCAAAAACTTGTTGGTTGAGATAAAGACAGTTTAACAGGTAAAGCAAAAGCTGCATGTGCAACCAAAGCTAAATAGGCATCTGCTACTTCCCATGGGCAGGCAGGTGTTCAGCCATCTCCAGGAAAGCAGGACTTCATCATGCGTAACAGTTGCTTGGGAAGACAAACGCCATCGCTCTGAATGTCCCTCCCTTCCTTCTTCTTCCCCCAGCTTTATATGCTGAGCATGACGTCATGTGGTGTGGAATATCCCTTTGGCCAGTTTGCGTCAGCTGTGCACCCCCAGCCTACTCGCTGGTGGGGTTGTATGAGAAGCAGAAAACAGCCTTGATGCTGCGTAAGCACTGCTCAGCAGTAACTAAAACACCCCTGTGTTATTAACACTTTTCAGCACAAATCTAAAACATAGCATTATACAAGCTACTCTGAAGAAATTTAACTCTATCCCAGCCAAAACCAGTATAGCTGCTCACAAGACTTGAAAGAAACAGAACATAAAAATTAGCCTCTTTATCAGTTTAAAGGAAACCTAATCTTTGTGATCATGGCTGTGGTCTGAATCTATTAGACATGTTCAGATTCAGTGTCCTCGATGTCATTGTGAGATGACCTGAATAGTGAGCAATAAACTTTTGTATTATAATTCACATTTGAAGATACGTGCTCAGGAAGTAAAACCAGACAGACAATGTCTTGTGTCTATCTTTAAGCCAACAAGAGTCTATATAAAATGACAGGGGCATTTTTAGGAAAAGCAAGAGAGTAATGTTTTTCTAGTTAGCAGGTGACAGTGTGTCCCAAGATAACACAAGCTTAAGGGGCAGAAACAAATGTGATTATTAAAGGCTACTGGGTTCTCAGTTCATACAAATTGAATTCTTTCATAGTCTGAAGGGCTATGGAAATCTAGTGAAGAGTGTAGACTGTTGAAATAAAATTAGCATGTAAAGTGATTTTATATATGCAGGAATATAGCCACAAAGTTTGAATTTGAGAAAGAAATCTCATTAATCATCTTGTAAAAGAAGTAATTTTTAAATTCTATATTTGTTATCACTGACATAAAGGTTCTGCATATGAATAGGTTTTTTGTGATTGCCCAAAGATAGTGGATTATTGAATTGACAAAGATCTGTTCCATTCTCTCCTGCTTCTTCTTTTATAGGATAACTGATTTAGGAAATATTAAAAGAAGATTGTATTTATCAACAGTCCATAAGGAGTTATCTGTAACCCCTCTGCATGCAAAAATTCCTCTGTTTACCATCAAGCGCAAAATAGTAGGTACCTTGGGAATATTCCTTGAACTGTGGTTGAGCACGCTTTTTATATCAGAAATGTTTTATGTAAGTTTATAGACCTGTTGAAATTACCATTTGGTTTAGAATTCAGTTCCTGCCGATTCAAGATACGTGTGTATGTCCCCTCTGCTGGACAGTATCAGAACCACTTAATACTACTGCTCTTCTACCCTTCTTCTAACATTAGGAGTTCATTCCCATTTTCCAAGATTAATGCTGTTTGTGATGTGTTTAGCTCTCACTTCTGCTGTCTATTCAGCCTTTGTAAAGTTCTCTGTCTCTGTGTCCCTGGTGCTTCTTCATTATAGTGCTCCTGTTCATGTGTACCTTCTCCCGTAGTGACCTTTTATTACATTCACTGGAGCTGCAGGTAGACTGTAGCTGATGGCTACTTTCATGTGCTTCACGTTCTTACAGATTCTGGTATATATAAAACAACATATATGTCAAACTGGTGAAAATAAAACAATAGCCATCAGCTTCTCCCTGTTCCCCTCTCCCATGCCCAGCCACAACATATGGTAATAGCTGTCAGGATACAAAACCTGATGGTTACCATATAACCTTGTGAAGACTGAAGTCTCAACTACTGCTTTAGAAAGTCATTTGGAGATGAGAATAGTTAGATTTCAAATATTTTAAAATATAACTATGCACCAAGAGAACTAAATAACAGTATGCTAAGCATCTGTGGATTTAAGGCTAGACATGTGAGAGAATATTTTACAAAAATCTCTGAAGTTATGACTTCTTTTAAGATAGTTTAGGTGAAGGCAGCTGTGATAATTTTAGATTTCAGGAGTTTTCTGCTTTGTGGGAAGAACTGGTTGGATTTTTTTCAAATGAATATGCATCAGATCATACCCCTGAAGTTGCCGTTACTTCAAGATCCACTGAAATGAAATTATTTTTCTTCAGTATAATTTCAGTTAGTTGGTCTTGGTGTTAGGCTAGCACAAATGTTTCAGGATTAAAGTATGCATAAATGTACACCAAGTTAAATTCCATCAGAATATGAACTTCAGTTATGCATTTTAATTTAGATAATAAAACATTAATCAGAGATCCATCTAAATGCTCTGATCAGTAATAATGACAAAATATTTTAATAACCTTAACGCTTGACCAACCTTAAAGAGTAGGTCTGTATTTCTTAGTGTATCTGAATACAAATCTGTCTTCTTTTAAATGGTTAGCTGCCTTTTTACTGTTGCTTTTACTTAAAAGAGGGAGTATGCTGCTTTCAGCAATTAGATAGATCTTTTACATGGCTCTGATAGTTTAACTTATTGTATACACAGGCTGACCATTATTATCAGTATGATTGGTTGTGAATAAGGATATAATATGTTGTTTGTTCCATCAGTAGAACATAGTTTACATTTTCATATCCTAGCTTTCTGTATTGTATTCTTACAAATGATGCTATTTTTAAACCTCAGCAATAGAAATATCAGTTATAATTAAATACTGCATTTTCCATTCCATTGCTTGGTGTCTTCAAAACAAGTATTCCTTTCCTTCCAAAATTTCAGACTTAAAAGCTGAATAATAATGTATGGACCTAAATTTTTTCTCCAAAAATATTTACTATTTGGCATTTAGAAACTAGTACTTTTATCTTGACTTTATAAGGAAATGAGGCATGAACGATCATTATGTCTTGGTATTCTTCTCCCTGAATAAAACTTCAACCCATTGATCAACTGAATTTTACATGTGAGTAATCATATCAAATATATTACAGTTGTGTAAATTTCATGAGAATGGTTACATTTCTCCTCAAGGCCATCTCTGTTTATTTCCCGGTTATAGAAGATGTGTTAGCATCAGCTCATCCCTCACTAGATACCAGAATTGATGAGGAGATTAATTGTTAGGAACACCAGAAGTATGAGCATATTTGTTTTTAAACATCAGAGACTCTAAACGCAAAACATAAAGCCACAAAGAAAACATACTTTGTTAGTTCTTCTGCTTGTGGCATTACTTGTTTTATATGAAACTTCTTTTTTTCTGGGAGGATAATGGAAGTGTAATATGGTCCACATGCAAAATAGATACCTGTAACTGCTTATTTCTATATTATAAAAAATAGCAGTATACAAGAGTTGAATTAAGTGGAAAAACTTGAAGCTGAGAGAATTGAAAGAGCTACTGAATAGTGCAGGAGAGTGTAGCACATTGATGTTAGTGTTCTAAAAGTGTTTCCTGAAACAAATGGAATAATTATCTAATGAGAATTAAAACATGTATTTAAGTAGGATCTTTAGCAACCTAGGCAGTTGTCATTATCTGATTTGTCTTTTGGAAATGTCTTATCAGGAATGGTTAACGTTTATTATAAACAATGAGTAGTGGGGTCTTGTCCATACTAGAAATTTGCCTGATAGTTTTCAGTGTGGAAGGGGTGCAAGCTTTGGAGAGATCCTTTTTTTTGAATCTCAGAATGAAATCATCAAAGAATCTCCAGCTATCGCCTTTGGAGCACATAAGCTGCAGTAGCTTTAATTTATGAAGTAATATTGAATAACAATTTTTTTTCCCCCAGAAACCCCAGAAAAATAAATATACTTTCTCACAAGTTAGCTGCAAAACATATCGTGGATATGCTGGGTAACAGAGCTCACTTGGGCTGGCAGTCACTAGGTCATATGTACTGATCTGCTTGTATAAATAATTGTTGTAAGTGCAAAACCAGCAATATCTTTTTTAATATCAAAATGTTATGCATTGTGAATCACAGCCTGTGATAATCTAATACTCCGCAGAGACTTCATTTATAGAGAACTATACACTAATACTCTTCTGCAATGATTAGTGTTTGGGTTTTATTAAAGAGTATTGTTTCTCTTTTCTAGTGGTGCAATATGTGTATTGACTTGGTAGCATTCACCAGTGAAATATTCAGAGGAGCTGTCTTCCAGTCTTTGGATGGAATTAGTATTTCAGCTAACTGTAAACTGAGAAAGATCTTCACTTTAAAATCCAAGCCTCAAGATACAGCTGAGGAAGATGGTGTGTTATAATTACTATGTAGCCTTAATCATAACTGTTCATATTATAAAATCAAAGCTTCTTAGTCATCAGATTGACAATTTGAAAGATTACATGATTTCATGAAAATTAAAGTGGTAGTACAGCATATTAAATCTGCTAGTGTTGGACTTTAGGCGACTGATTAAATATATGTGTACTCCTCTGTTTTAAACATTGACTTCCTTATAAGTATTTTATTGAAGAAATTCTGGCAAGATATATCAAGTAGAGAGCTTGTTTTAACGAGGGTATATTATGCTGATAGAAATCAGGTTTCAGCCAAGAAGAGAGTGTCTGAAAGGAAAGAGAGATACTTAAACTTAGCAGCATCTGCTGTTTGTTTTCTTAATTTTGGACATTAGCAGCTGATGAAAGATTTCTTCTTTAAATAATGCAAGACAAAAATGTAACAAAACAGTACTATAGGAAACAGAGCTATGAAACTATCATAAACACCCCTCTGTGATCTTTAGTCCATTTATCCTAATGTGTCCTTGTTCATCGGGAAAGTAATACTGGTGGTAAGCTGAAAACTCAGAGATTATATTTGTAATAGAGCAGGATATTGGTCAAAGGTTTACCAGTCTCCAGACTAGCATCATAATCCTGAATCATTATTTTCCAAGGGAGAGAACTTCATTCCTCGCTGATATTTGCAGTAATAGAGGAGGAATTGAAAAAGCACAGCTGCCACTTTCTTATTTTAGAGGAACCCTAGGTATAGGTCAGCTTCGATTTCATTCAAATTTTCATGTTGTGGCTTTTAAAGAACACACAGTAAGAAAGGGTTCTTGTTTCTGAAGAAGGAATAGTTAGCAGTATTGTAAGTGTAACAAAATGTATCTTCCATTTGGAAAACCTAAACCAATACGGGAGAGTATGTGATCATTGTGATTACTCCTGTTTATTTGTTGGTGAGGTTGGAAAAAAAAATTAATTCAAAAAATTACTGCAGAGAGAAGCTGGTAAATTCTCAGCAGAAACTGCAGTTAGAGGCCTCACTGGCTTTAAATTAATTTAATTCCATCGGTGCATTGTTTTCTGTCTTCCATTCTAAACAGTTTTTGAAATGTGTGTAAATGTTCTAAATGAGTTCCAAAATTCCAAAATGTAGTTAACATAATGAGTAGACAGCTTTAATAAACTGTTTGCATGGTAAATTATTGCACTTTTAATTACTGGATTATCAATTCTATGATTATTACACAGCTGGTGGGCATAGTATTTTCTGTATGCTTATGAATTTCCTTATCTAGGCAAGTCTTAAAATTACATTACAGCTCAAGGTTTGGCTGTGTTAAAATAACTCTATACCCAATTACAGAAAAACAGTAGTAGTTTGTTGTTGTTGTTATTAATTAACTTTCAGTTAACAATCATGATTTGATAAAGCTTTTTTCCTCTCAGATGATTGGACCAGTTAGTTGAGCTCCACTGAATGCAATGACATTGCAACTTGTAATGAGGGTCGAGTTCTTTGCTTAAACCTCCTTGGTGGTGGAAGTAGTGATTTCAAGGTGCAATGTGTGTGTTACTCTTTCTTAGTAGCTCATATACAGTATGTTTTGCATTCTTAAAATGATAGCAAGTGGAAAGGAGAAACAACATATACTAAGAAATTATTTCTGTATGAGATCATTGAGATAGAAGAGGAAAGAATTCATCTTCTCTGCCCCGAGATACTGAGGCATACAGGCTTGATATATACCTAGTTTCTGGTTTCCATAGTAATCTGGAGGTTATGTATGAGGTTTTTGTCACTAAGTATTGTGTTATAGCCGTGAAAAATGTAATGGCTTGGTGAAAAAATGGTTGGAAAAATATGTCCACTACTGAAATATAACATGGGACACTTGAATTTTTCTATTAGGATCTCAATACTTGATCCATTATTTGTGTTCGGTTTTGGGGTTATGTTTACTTCTTCTTATCCTTGGAAAAGAGGCTAATATTCATTAGCTTACTATATTAAAGTCTTATGAAATTTGGAAGGAATTTGCATCAGAACATCAGGAATGGTTCTGACTCTGGATACCTTTCTTCATAGAGAATAACTTTCATAAACTCAGTCTATATTGGTTGTCAAAGGGCAAGCAGAGAGAATCAGATCACATTCTGCTAGGTTGGGTTGACAGCTTTTTAGTTTATCATGGAAGTGTAATGGTGTCCAAAGTTTGGAATTAAAGCTTGTCAAATTCTTTATTTGCATATATGGAACTTCTCTATTTGCTGCTTCAGTCCCACTGATATAAATACCATTTTCAGATGTTAATTTTGTCTGAAAATCAGTATATCAGTATTAGAATTAAAGCTGAGTTGTAATAAAAATTAACAAAATGTATTTTGTGATTCTGTTTTGCTTGTTCACTTGCCAAATCAAGGAAGTTGATTTACTATGGCTATTCTAGCCATTAATCCATATTTCTTAGTTTAAATGTATTCAAATTTTTTGGCCTAAAAAAATGCACAATATAATTTTAAAATGTACATGCTTATTGTCTTAAAAGTGAATAATTGCAGCAAATTTTTCAAATGACCGTAATCTATTAAATCGTTATCACCATATGAACTAAAGCATATGTAATCTAACAAATAATGTAAGTCAAATTTAATTCTGTTGTGCCATCTGAGTGAAGTAAAGCCCGTGTTTTTTGATTCTAGATATGTGTGTTGTTCCATTTATGCCATATGAGCCCACAGATGTTATTCCTCGAACCTGTCAGCTAAATACAGATGTGCCACAAGTTACACAATTGCTGAACCTGACTAAAATTCACAAGCCAGAAATAAAATGCAGGAGGTACCCAGTAACAGTGCAAGAAACAGGTATTATGTTGTATTAAAATACTGTGAATATGATCTATACAGTATGCATACAAATAATGGATTTTTTTGTAAAACTGCATGTTCTGGTGTCATAGACACATAGACACGTATCTGTTCTATAGTTTGAGATCTATGTGCACCCTGAACAATTCTAATTCAAGCATGGGATTTATAGTAACAATATTTGAGGTATGTCTTTTGAATGTACATTGAAGTGTGGCTGTTCAGTTGTTACACTTCTTTTTAAAGTATGTTTACATTAATGAAACTCTTCTAACAATATGACCACGCATAGTCTCCTCAGTTTATACTCTGAAAAAGGAAATCTTGTCTTATTGGTGTCTTGAAGTTATTTGAATGTTTCTGTAAGCTAGAAGATAAAGCATATAATTTAGACTGTGACAGCATGGCATAGAAGAGATTTATTGAAGAAGCTAGGCAGTCATGTGCCAAGATACAAACTATTGACTTGGATAAAAATTAGGAGACAGAAAGCAAACAGAGGTTCAAATTTTAAATTTTCATTAGAGCTGAAGACTAACAGCAGGAGGCCTTAGAAGTTTTTTGTTATGAATAATCTCAAAAGAGAAGTGAATAACATGGGAGCAAAATTTTCATGTGATACAGATCCTAGGTTAGCAAAGAGTGGGACTTCAGAGAGTTTTGAACTTGTAAGATGGCCAATCCCCTATGTACTTTTTCATGAAAAACACTACAGAGCAGGTAATGTGCAGGAACCATATTTTGCTAAACAAAGTTTCAGTTTGCTATTTTTATTTCTTGTGGCCACTGTGTTGAAAAATTATGAGCTAGGGGCCACTGTACTAGGTAAATGTGTAACGTGATACCATGTAAAATCTAGCTTTGATAAATGCAAAGGATTGTACATTGGGGATAAATGTTAACTACAGTTAAGCTTTAAAGCGTCAAAATTAAATGAGTCAAAGAAGGAAAGTTATCATAACCATAGATACAGCTCAGTGGAATTCTCAGATTAATATGTAGCTACATTTTAAAAAAAACTAAGATACTGGGTAGCAGGAAGTTCAAATTCATATCAAATGGAAAAGGTACCAAACCTTTAAATAAATCAGTTTTGCATTATTATCTGGAATACTTTATAGATTGCCAGTTAAACCATCTCAGAAAAGTTTTTACAGACAGAGAAGTGATTCAGAGAGAAGCAGCATGAATGAAAAAGTCTCACATGAAGAGATGCTGAAAACATTAAAAATTGGTTTGAGTTTATAAAGTAACTAGTGATACAAAGAAAGTTCAATAAAAGCTGCTTTTCCTATCTCATGGCACAAAAACAAGACATCATTTGATGTGATGATGCAGTTGAGAATTAAAAACTGATAAAAGAAAATACCATGTTCACAGAATATGATTAAAATATGGAATCCACTGCTACAATAAGCTGGTGAAGTAAAGAAATCTGTATGATTCCAAAATCAGTTGGCCATTTTATACGGGTAAGAATAATGTCCATGTCGTCGTATTTAGCACCAGTGAAAATGCGAAGGGAAAATTGAATCTTGTACTTCTACGTTTTTCCAACCTTACTCCAAGAACTGTGGTGAAGGCAGATTATTTCATAAATCCCTACTGAAATTATCTTGTGCCATTTCTGAAGCATTTGGTTTTGGCTATTGTTTGAAGCTGGATGTTAGACAGATTATTGGCCTGTTCTAGAATAGCACTTCCTGTGTTTTTATATTTAAATTGGCATGTCTGTCTGCATAAGGTTTGTAAGCCAAGAATCAGTAGAAGCTGAACTGTAGAAGCAAATGGCAAGATTTGAATGTGAAATTGCTTAACTAGACTTGGGTCAGACAATTGACTGCTTTTTACTAAAGCTGCTATTTTGCTTTAAAACTATGTATTGCTTCCTACCTGCAGTAAAGTCAATAGCAAAATTTCACTGAGACAAATGTCTTTACAGTCCTTAATGTTTTGATTCAAAATAATTAATATCTCTTTAAAACAATTTTGTAATGAGATAGATTGTCATTAAATAACAGCAACAGAATAAGAGACATAGATTGTTTGTGTTCATTAATGGAACTCCCTAGTTGTAAATTTACTCATAAACAGTAGTGGTCTTAAGGTAGCTATGTAAAGAATGAAATAAAATTTTCAGCTATTGACAGTTTTTTTTGTGGTTGAACAAAATCAGGTTTTTTAAATCAGTTGTTTTGAGTTTTGAAGACATCATCTACATTTCCAATGAGGAAATAAATCAATGTAGAAAAAATCCGTATTTCTCACAAGTAGTACGTTTCATTGATTAAAATTCTAAACATATCAAAAATATAATTTCCTCACTCCCAGGATATTACTGCTTTTGTAAATCCAGTTGCACATTAACTAATCTGTACTCTTTTTTTTTTTTAAGTTATTCTATAGATCCATTTGCAACAGTAAATATCCTAGAATATGTGCAAGCACTTCTTAAAAAAGAGGGTTATAATGGATTTTAAAATGAGAGTATTTTGTATGCTGTGATTCATGTCCTTCATGGAGAACTGATAATTTTGCCCCTTTTAAAATGTTGAATTGATTGTTATTTTCAGCTTAAACTTGAAAAGTACATAAACTTCTTACTGCTAGAGCTTAGAAAAATACACAGGTGAAATCTCTCTCTGTAGGCACCCTCTTTACTCTTTTGTTACATTATTATTGGCTTCTGTACGAGACACAAGACTAAGCCTTTAATTTGGACTATATAATAATTGCAATGTCTTACTAAAGCTTTTCATTTTCCCTTTACTCTGTACCACCTTTTATGAGTCATTGATTCATCATACTAAAACAGGATAGTAGAACATCTTTTGAGAAGGAAGTAGATCTGAAGTAGCTTAGAAGTGGGTCTGAACAAGCAAATTAGATAAAGAATCCATTTCCAATACATCTTCATCAGTGTAGGCAATGTTAGAAGCGGTGCTGTAGGTAAGGAAGATACATTTTTATTCCACTGGTTTTAGTACTTAGTCTTGAGGATTCTCATCTTTAGTGTTTGAATTCAGTGAATAATCATATCCACCATTTCTGTTAAAATGCTCTGGAAGTACATGTGTAAAGTATTGACCAAAGGAATAAGATAAATTACAGGGAATGATAACTGCTGGTGAAGTTTAATACTATAAAAGACAAGACTATTACAGCCAACAATAGTATTTAACATGTAGCATCTCATGAAGCTCTAAAGAAAAATAAACTTTGAAAGAAGTATTTCTTTGAGAACAACCTTAATAATATGAAAGGTTTAAGAAAATACTTTTTAAACAACTTCTCTTCTGCTTTTACCGGAATATGGAAAAAACAGCTCATAAAGATTTTATCATCTGCACTAAGCTACCATGCTGATGCTTTTTCAAGTAGTTAACTTTTGCTCTCTCTCGATATACCTCATTAGTAAAGGCATACTTTGTCCTACAGCAGTTGAAATGAATAGGAGGGGGTTTAAATTTTTGCTTAGAGTAAGACCCTTCATACATTTACTTATTTAAATTACATTCAGCTTTTTTTACATGCAAGTACCATTTTTGTAATATTAAAGGGTAAATAATATTTTTAGAGTATTATTGCCCTACAAGTAGTCAAGCCAAAGTTCTGTTGTGAAGTTTGATTGTAAGTTTGCTTTTGAAATAGCAGAGGAAACTCTGGAATTCAGTTTCTCAATGTCTGTATTCAAAAATCAATAGTTCTTGGCTGGATTGTCAAAATACAAGGGACTGTAAAACTTAAATTAGTACAATAGTGTGAATGATATATCTAAACAGAAAAATGAATGTTCGTTTAAAACAAGACTCGGGTTTTACCATCTGGACTACAAAGATATATAGCCCTTAGGTATGTATAGTAAAATAATTTATTACATCTCTGACCTGCATGAAAATGAAATGCCTTCAGTTTAAGGTTTAATCTTTATTTTTAATCCCATCTTATGAACATAGCATGTGTTCTTCCAGACATGCTATTTAAATTTCAGAAGTTGGGCTTCTTGAAAATGGAAGCTTTGGTATGTTTAAGTACATTTTAATTGGAAAATGTTCTTTTTATCTGCTAAACTTTGATATTTGATAATCAAAAGCACAAATTATTTTTAGTATCATCCACTTTTAATTACACATATTATTTCATTATGCCATCAACACGCTGTTATGTGTAGATGTAGGTAATTAATTACAATCAATTAATGTGTTCATAAAGAGAGACTTTCATGCAAATCAGCTTTTATAATTGGAGCTAACAACATCCCAAGGTAGTCGGCAAATTAAAGAAATTGATGTTAAACCAAGACAGGTCATCTAATCTTGTGAAATGGCAGCTGTTAGCAGCAACCAAATGTCACATCAGGAAAAAGGGAAGAAAGTAATGGCAGAAAGTAGATTCTTTTGTGCTTATTAGTACAGTAAATTATGATATTTGGGGGCTAATGCATAATCTTTCTTTCATTTCTTTGATGACACTGGAAATAAAGCTGATCTTGAAATAAGATTAAATAAGTCTACGAAAAATGCTTAGGAGAATCGACAAAATATTTTGTTTCTACTTTACTGATGTATGAAGGTGTCAGATCTCTAAAGTGAGAGAGCAATTTAACACTGAAGTTATAGCAAGAAAAGATCTTCAGACATTGTAAATTTTAACTATAAATTAATGTGAAGGTACCCTTTTTTATCAGCTCAGGAAAGAAGAATTCACTGACAATCTTGGAGAATTAAAAAAGAAGAAAATAGCTATTACATGCAGTTCTGCAACCCTGGTGATGAAATTAATATGTAACCATTTTACTGTCCTTCCCTTTTAATTTTTTTTCAGAACATTCACCTGCATTCCATAGTTAGTTTTTGTTTGTCTTGCAGACTGGTTGGCATTTTCTGTGCTTGAAAAGAATTACAAAAATATATCTACATTTTAACCACTAAAAAAATAAATAATGAAAGGGGTAGGACATTTTAACAGGTATAGAGTATGTTTGCAATATTAGGGGTCAGCCCTGGTATTACGGTAGATTCAGTAATTTCAAAAAGCAAGCTACATGTAGATAGTTCTCCTCTGAGCTGTGAGTGATACCTTGACAGTCTTGCCTCAGTTTTCTTGTGTTATTATTTATTTATTCTGTTATTTATTGGAGTTGTTTTTTCTTCCTGTCAGAAGCTAGGTTTTCATTGAAGTTCTAAAGAAATCATGCAAACCAATTCTTTTTGTTTATAAATAGCCCCTTTTTAAATAAATCTTTAAAGCCAAGGAGATTAGAAATATGTCTATATAATAGACCAAAAGTTTCTTGCTTGTATGTTGACACACTTTTATAAAATGTGCATTTGCTATTCCTACAGATTTCTAGGGATTGTGCTATAAAGGAACATAATTTTTATGTATATCTAGTATTCATAATTCTCTTATTTCAGTTGATTTGAAAAAAGTATTAATACTTTCTTTGTAAGTACTGTAATTTTTTTAAAAACAACTTTTTTTTTTTACTTAGGTAGCTTGGTTAATAGAGGACAAGGCAATATACGCAGCAGTAAAACTCAGGATGTATCACATATTGCATTTGGATCAAAGATCCTTGGGCCACCTCCATCTTCAAACAGAAGAGTCAGTACAAGGGTATCTGAAGAGGTAAGAAAGCTTAAATTACAACAAAACTGCTGGCACTTCTACCAAGGAAGAGATTGACAAGCAGAGGAGTCACACTGAAGGTTTTTTGCAGAACTGATGTGAGGCTGTGTCTGGAGTACTGTGTTTGGTCGTGGACCCCCAGTGCGAGAGATACTGTAACGTCCAGTGGAGGGCAAGTAAAATGCTTGGGTAGCTACAGCACATGACATGGGTTTGTTCAGCCCGCAGAAGAGAAGGCTAAGGGAGAATCTAGTTGCTATTTTCAACTAATGCAGGGTTGTAGAGAAGACAGGCCCAGATTCTTCTAAGAGGTGCAGTGATAGGACAAGAGGCAGCAAGCCCAAATTGCAGGGAAGCTCTGACTGGGTATAACTATGAAGTAAAGTGGTTCGGTACTGGAACAGGGTCACAGGGAGCTTGTGGAATTTCAAGACTTTCAAAGATAACAAAAATGGACTGGAACAGGCTGATCTAATTTCAGCATTAGGCCTACAGAGGTCTCTTCCTTCTGAAATTACTCTGTGATTTCTTATCATTCTTATTTTTCTGAATTTCTTGTTCTAGAATGCTGAAATTTGTGTGTGTGTGTAAATATTTTTCCTTATGATGAGAGCTATGATGCAGAGCAGAAACTCTGCATTTCGGTATGCTCTAAGTGGATGATAGTCAGCCATAGAGTAGCTCATGAGATGCTGTCAATTACAATGCCAGAGAAAACAGCTGGTCTCACTCTGCCAGCAAACAATATGCAGGTTTTAGGCATCTGGTCAGGACTACAATTCCCAGTTTAACACTGTGAATAAAGGATCCAGCCAAAGGAAGTAGACTCTTCTGTAGGAAGTCAATTGAAAACTAAGATGTAAAATGAGATTCCTTTCTCCAAAGAAGAAAGGACTCCTCCTGAGGTCTAGAATAGCCACAAGTTTCACTGTCTTTTTATCCAGATAGTGAATTTTAATTTTTTTTCCCTTTTCTTTGCCTTGTTTTCCTTTCACTCAATGAAAAAACCCTGCCTGTTACTAGACTGTAAAGATTGAAGATACCACATAGAACTGTACCTTCCATAAAGTTTCCTGGAAAGATAATATTTTAAAAAAAAAAGATTTGGAAACATTTATTTGAAAAATAAGTTCAATTCAAAATGCGTGTCTACCTTTGAGTATTTTGAAAGCTGTTACGTTTTTGTCTTTCATTAAGAAAATAATGTCTTTCAAGGTAACAAAGACCTGGGGTAGCAAAAGTAATAGATCATGCCGACTTCAAAGTTCAGGAAAGGGAACTGAATCTGTACAAGTCATTGAGAGATTGGAGCTATCGTTCTCACCATGCAATGATTCTTTAGATCAAGGAGGCAAAAGAAACACTCACCAAACAACTGAAGATGTATCTCAAAATGGTAAGAGCATAAAGCAAAGAATATGTAGAGTTCACAAACTGCCAAAATTTTTGCATGATTCTGACTTCAGAATGTAAGATTTAATTCTCTGTTTTTCCAATCCTTTATCTACCTTGTTAATTACTGAAGACATTTATATTAAATCATGACTTATTCTACTGTATGAGCTTGAATAAATGCTCACTCTCTCTGCAGGTATTTGTGTTGTAAGTGTTTGAGCCAGGGATCACCGCCTGCTGGCAGTAGCCACAGGTTATACACATATTCTGCTTTCCCTCATGCTGTGTATATAACTGGGCTGCTGCAGTGGTTCTTGATTATTTTGCAGACTTTTGCAAGCCTGTTTTGTATAACTTCTATGGTTTGTCCTTCTTCCATACCTAGTGTTAAATTTTTACTTTCTTGTG